TTGCCGTGTAAACTTATAGTTAAACTGGCTCTGGGTTAACTCACTCTGGGTTATTCAGCCTACATTTATTGATCGAACAAGTACTTATAAGCTTTATGATTGGCTAGTAGAGACTAAAGCCTTATGCACAATGCCAGGCAACAGACAATAGGAATAGGCATTAGCCAATAGGAATAGGGAGTAGAAATAATTGACCAATCCAAATTCCTATTCCCTGTTCTTATTGTCTGTTGCCTGCTATTGTGTATAGAGCGTTATGACGTCAATAATGACTCCTGCATACAGGAGCGGTAATGCTTGCCGCGCGGCGGAAGTCCGCGCGACAGCCAATCAATATGTTGCTTTTCCGTAAGAGCTAGAAGGTTATTACGGAAAGCAGCATATTAATTGGCTGTTACGTGAACTTCCGCCACGTGGCAACGCTTGCCACGCGGCGGAAGTTCGCGCAACAGCTAATCAATATGTTGTTTTTCCGTGAGAGCTACAAGGTTATTACGGAAAGCAGAATATTGATTGGCTGTCGCACGAACTTCCGCCGCGTGGCAAGTGTTGCCGCGTCCTGTGGGCAGAAACCATTACAGAAAAACAACATATTGATTGGCTGTCGCGCGGACTTACGCCGCGCGGCAAGCATTACCGCTCCTGTATGCAGGAGTCATTATTGACGTCATAACGCTCTATACACAATAGCAGGCAACAGACAATAAGAACAGGGAATAGGAATTTGGATTGGTCAATTATTTCTACTCCCTATTCCTATTGGCTAATGCCTATTCCTATTGTCTGTTGCCTGGCATTGTGCATAAGGCTTTAGTCTCTACTAGCCAATCATAAAGCTTATAAGTACTTGTTCGATCAATAAATGTAGGCTGAATAACCCAGAGTGAGTTAACCCAGAGCCAGTTTAACTATAAGTTTACACGGCAACTTAAAACCTGTTTAGTAACAACCGTATTTAGTAAACTCTCGCATCCGATTGGTATATTCTTTTAGATCTAGAAATATATTCCAATCGGATTCAAAAGTTTATTAACTACGGTAGTTACTAAACCGATTTTAAGTGTCGTGTAAACTTAGTCTATGATTGGTCAATTTCTTAAGGCTTAAAGCTTACTACACCTATTGTGGATCGGGACTAACGGAATAGCAACCATCGGCCTATGTGTTGGAATATATTTCGTTTATCCAATAGAAAAATTCTCCTAAAATTGTCGCTTAACCCCTAAAATTCGTTTTGATGGTTAGATAAGCGCGCCATCTTCAAACTACTGATGCACTTATCCTTCACATGAATGAAAAATGTATTTTCTAACCTCTATCTTCTTATAACTTCAAAAAATTAATTAAGATAAATAATTAGGTAGTGAAATGTTTTATCTGCTTAAGTTTTAATACAAGATAATACAAAATATATAAGCATTAAAAAGAAATATTTATTGGTATAATTATTTATATATATATATGTATATATATATATATAAAACACACACACACATTTTATATATACATATATATGTGTATTCTAAGCCCTTATTTTCTGAACTCTCTTATAAAAAAAAATGCTTCTAAATGTGCTTATAAGCCAATTAGAAAACTTATAAATCACATTTATAGATACATTTTTATCGATAAAAAAGAGTTTATTGAATAAGAATTCACACATTTATTGATTTTAGCATATTGGTGTCAACTCTGCAAGCCAGTTTAGTTCCTGATTTATATGACTGAATATTGTATAAACATCACTCTCAAAACATACATACGCATTGATTGTTTGCTGCTAGTATGTATCTGACAGATGTATACATGCAATTGTATTTTAAACAAACTCTTTAAACAACTAAAAATATTTTTCTGTTTCAGGAGTTCAATTATTGACATTTACAATGAACGGTATAGATTTATATGGCACATTTCTTGAGTTACACAAGCCTCAACTGGAGTCTACCGGTGTTCCAGAATTATTTTGGAAAACTCTCTTTGAAAAAATAGAGAATGAAATCTTTGACAGTGGACGTGTCTTCCAGTTAGTTAGAGTAGAGTATGAGAATACAACTAGACATGTCACACAACCAGTTTGGAAGTTGATTGTCTCTGTAGATGATGGCATTAGTGCACAAGACTCAAATAACATCTACTTGATCGATCATGCTTGGTTGTATGATGCTAGATCAGCGCGACAAAATCTGACAGAAGTATTTGGCCTGCTGGATCGTATGTGCTCCCTTATGGGCATCGACACCAACAATGCAGAGAGACAGGAGTTAATTGAACGTGTCATGGATGAGATGTGGCGGCACAACCAGACGTTTTCGTTGAACTCCCAGAATGCAGAGGAACGTGTACCGATATGGTATATCATGGATGAAGTTGGGTCAGCAATCAATCATAGCGACGACCCGAATTTTCGAGCAGAGCCTTTCCTACACGTGTCGAGTGGTACATCTTACACACTTCTGTTTCCCATAAAAGATGCCGCCATGGGAGATGAAGTCACGAGAGATTTCGTCGAGGGTCAAGCTAGCACTCCTTCTACAAGAAGTTTGTTATTACTACCATGGGTCCACAGCACTTTCGACGTCGAAAGTTTCGAGCAATCTGAGACGGATGTAGATTTCGTAGCGAATTATATTTCCGAAACTCTGCCAGAAACGTTTAAAGCGAACAACAGCAGTAACAACAGGACATTTAAAGTCTTCTCAGAATATAAGTGCGTCAACAAGTACTTGACGCATCCATCATTTACATTCGTTGATAACGATCAGGAAGCGGACATACTATGGCTCATGTCGCACTTTAAGACTTTCAAAGAATTGAGCGTCTCCTCGCCTGATGTATTTGTAAACCAATTTCCTTGCGAGCACATCGTTACCGTCAAGGACCTCCTGGCGATCGTATGTAGGAGAAAAGCGATGGGCAAACAATACGATCCTGATACTCTCGAGACCTTTCCAGCGTGGTTGCCGACCACATATAACTTACTGACGGAATTGCAGCAGTTCGTCAGTTACTTCAAGGCACGGGCGGACAAGGATCTCGACAACCATTGGATCTGCAAGCCGTGGAACTTAGCGAGAGGCTTGGACATTCACATCACGAAAGATCTTTATCATATTCTGCGGTTGCGTTGCACAGGGCCCAAAATTGTGCAGAAGTACATCACGCGACCGGTCCTGTACAACAGGCCGCAGATCGGTCGAGTGAAGTTCGACATCAGGTACGTCGTGCTGCTCAAGTCCGTGAAGCCGTTATGCATGTACGCTTATGCGAACTTCTTCCTACGATTCGCGAACCGGCCGTTCGCGTTGAACAACCTGGACGTGTACGAACAACACTTCACCGTGATGAATTATTCCGACGAGAATCCGCTCTACCACGTGAAATGCGCCGAATTCATCGTCCAATGGAAGAATCAGTACCCCGATTATCCGTGGGAGACTTACATCGAGCCGGAGATTTTCTCTGTCCTTCATGAGACTTTTGAGGCTGCAATCGCGAAACCGCCGCCACAGGGAATCCCCGAGAGCCCGCAGAGCAGAGCTGTGTACGCTGTCGACATGATGCTGGAGTGGCGTGGCTCCAAGATGCAGCCTAAGTTGTTAGAAATTAATTTCATGCCAGATTGCCAGCGAGCATGCGACTATTATCCGGAATTTTACAACGATATTTTCAAATGCCTGTTCTTGGATATAGAAAACTCGCAAGTATTCCACAAATTACATTCGGTCGAGGTATGATCACCGTTGTATAGCTATACTCTTTGTATAGCTGCGAATATGTTAAATAAAATATATGATTAAATAATATATAAGACTTATATAATATATAAGTCGAAAAGTTCTGATTGGCTTTTATTTTTATGTTTTTTGCTTTTTTACAAAGTGTAAAGCAGAAAAAGATACTTGATATATAAGACTTGAGTATTGACGTTATTAACTAAATAAATAAATCTCATTTATAACGTGTAGTTTAATAGTATTTCAGGTGAATTTGTATTCATGAGATGATTGGAAATACATTTAATCGTTGAGTTATTTATATTTTTGACTCGTATTGAATGTTACATAACATCACTTTCGGCATTAACATAAATTTTTAATTTAGCGTGAATTACATTTACATTTGTAACTTACGAATTATATTACGAAATTGTATGCAATTACAAATTGCATTCACAAATAACTCATGATTTTGTTTTACCATCTTATTCATTGAAACTAATTATTATGTAATTTATCATAGATTAAGTTTGAAATTTAAAATAAAACGCGGGAAATACGTTAATTCGTCGAACCGTTTGTCATATGACAAGATTGCCGGATGGGTCGATTAGCTGACGATAGAGCTTTTCTATGAGAAAATTTAAGCGGGAAGTACACACTTTTGCATAAAGGCATAATGCACAACGCATAAGAAAATTGACCAATCAGAGTCCTTCATCAGAACTCAGTGCTGGTAGAAAAGCAGAAACTGTCGACAATGGCTGTGTTCAGAAAACATAGCTGATCAGTGAGCGGTCAGTGATTATTGGTCCTTATGGCTCCTGCAGACAGGACACGGTAATGCTTGCCGCGCGGCGGAAGTTCGCGCGACAGTCAATCAATATGCTGCTTTCCGTAATAACCTTCTAGCTCTTACGGAAAAACAACATATTGATTGGCTGTCGCGCGGACTCCCGCCGCGCGGCAAGCATTACCGCGTCCTGTGTGCAGGAGCCATTACTGTTAGATCCCTAACTTTAGACCAATTACGTTCACTGATACGCCTCTAGCCAAATATTGAAGGAAGGAAGGAAGGAAGACCAATTACGTTGACTAATTACTCAACCGTTGTGCAACAGTTGTGTCTTCTGAACGCACTCTATCATTTAACCACCAATGCGAGTTCTAATTGGCTTCTGCCTTTTTGTTTTTTGCTTTTTTGCCAAAATTTGAATTTCCCTTAAGGTCATTTTCTCTGGGAATTTTCCATCCCAGAATTTCTCTATTCCACAATTTCTCTATCCGACAGCCAATCGGCGCATCTGACAAAACTAGTGTGACAAACTAGTGTGATAAATAAAATATAAGGTTAAATAGAAGTTCTCATTTTTTTCTATTTCCTATGAATTAAACATAAAACATTTCTGGAAAAATAGTTTTGATTCAAAGTGACAAGAAGATTTTATTTTATACGTAGAAGATGAGAATTGTTTGCGCAGCATTAAATTGTAAATATTCCTCGGAAAATGAAGATTCGTCAAGTGTCATTTTTACCCATTTTCCTGATGATGACACGTAAGTGTGTTAAGTTTTTGACAAATTAACTCACTTTATATTTTGACATTTATTTATTTAACGTTTTTTTTAATTTAAAACGCAATTTTGTTTGAATTTTTAGCTCGACTGTTACATATAATTATCACAGATATTGTGTCTTTGTTTCTCCATAAATGAACTTTACAAAATAATTTTTATGCAGAGCTAAGGCATTAGCAGAAAAATGTGGCAGATCGGATTTAGCTGAAAAATCGAATGCGGAATTACACTTGAATTATTACGTTTGTTCTCATCACATAGAAGATCACTGTTACAGAAGCAAATCCGTTGTAGAACAAGGTGCTATTCCTACCCTATTTGGAACCCACATACGTACTGACAGTGAAGATTGTATAAATATATTTGACAAGCCACAACATCTTCAAGGAGTAGATGATAGTGTATCACTATCATATTGCAACATGAATGTTGAAATAAATGAATATCACGATATCACTATCAGATTTTCTAATTTATGTCGAATCTGTGGTGAGTCAGTTCTGAATGGGATAGATATTTTTTCAGCTAAGGGTATAGAACTTAGCTTAAAAGAAAAGATAAGTTTGCACCTGCCCATTTCAATTGATATGAATGATTCAATGCCACAGAAAATATGTATTGATTGTTGCAACAAATTAGAGAATACACATTTGCTTGCTGTCTTGTGTTTAAAAACTGATATAAAGTTAAAGAAATTTTTAAATATTGATAGAGAGGTAAGTCTCTGATATTGACTGTTAAGAATTAAAAATATTTTTAGAACTTAAATTCATGTAAAATATCCTAAAAATATATTTATAATTACTATCATGTATAATCTGCAAGTATATATAACCAACAAATTTATTGCAGTCGGAATATGAAAATAAGTATAATGCATTAGTTGAGAAATGTTTATTGGAGACAGATAATATATGCCTGGATAACAGTATACATCCCGATTCTGTATCATTTACAATGAATAAGATAGCGAATCCTGATTTAGAAACAAGTTTAAAGGAGTTAGAGAATAGAGGAAATCCTGAAGCACAGAGTAATAGCTTTCAGAGCATCACCAAGATTGTTGAACAATCAGAAATCAATAATAGAATTCAAACTTATGGAGAATTTAATAATAAAAATAACGGTAAATATGCCATGAAAGAAATATCGCAAACTCAACAAGACAAAATTCAGAATGGTAAACACGATATTTTATGTTCTCAATGCCAGACTCTTTACAAAACACAAGAAATATTTGAGGACCATAAAATATTCTGTGTTAAGAAAAAAGATTCTTCAAAGTGTACGTCTAACACATTACAAAATAAAAAGACTAAGAATATTGAGTCAGAAACAGAAGGTTTTCAGTCAAACAACAAAGAACTTGAAAAGAAACAACTTACTGATAAACCTGAGATCTGTGAATCAGTGCATTCAATATATTGTCCAGTTTGCAGTCAGCTGTTTAAAACTCAACAGGATTTCGAAGAACACAAGCATCTACATGATAACTTTACTGAAAATGCTGCAATAGGAGTTAATAAAAGGTGTGGTCACTGTAAAGAATGCTATCACAGTAAAAAAGATTTATTAAACCATATTACACAATCACACGAAGGGCAATTATTATTTCAATGCTTCATGTGCGATAAGATGTACGAAAGATGGTCTGGTTTGGAAATTCATGAAGCTACTCACAGATTAGATAAACCATATCTTTGCGATTTGTGCGGTAAGAGTTTCAAGCATTCCAACTTTTTAAGATGTCACAAGAGAAGTCATTTAGACGAATCTAAAAAGAAAAGACACGTATGCGAAATTTGTGAAAAAGCATTTAGATCACGGTAATAATTACATAGCAGTTTATACTAAAAATTATTTTAATTAGCTTAATATTAAACTTATATTTATTATGCTGTATTTTCTTCTTGTACAGGTTTCATTTAAAAGAACATAAAAATCAACACGAGGGAAATAAACCATATACTTGCGAGCAATGTGGAAAAGCTTTCCATAAAAGGATGCAATTGCGACAACACAAATTATCGCACGGATTAAATAAATACATATGTTCGATTTGCAGCGCGACGTTCAATCGCAAAGGAAATATGAGTGCGCATATAAAACGGCACAACAACGAGAGTGAAGTGTATACATGTAGTGTAAGTACATTAACACTTTAAAAAAAAAAATCTGTAAATTACTCAACATCTCGCCTGTATTGATATTGCAGATAATGGTCATACAATACTGATATGTTAAAAATTGTATGCAATAAATACCCGATTTAATATTGCAGGTCTGTGCCTATAAATGCAAATCCATGAGCGAATTGAAGATGCATAGAAAGAATCATACAGAAGAAGAAATAGTAGACAGTATTAAGAAGAAATCTACCGACAAGGAGATATGGCGATGTAACGTCTGCAACAAAGTATTCCTGAAGCATACCATCTTGATAAACCATGAGCGCACGCACAAAAACGACAAAACTTACGTGGAGTGCGACGAATGCGGCAAGAATTTGGCGAACAAGAACTCGCTGATGTATCACAAGAAGTCATTCCATCTGAAGGAAAAGCTGCACATGTGTCAGTATTGCGGACATTCGTTCGTTTCGAAAGAGGGGCGATTAATACATGAAAGAAAACATACCGGCGAGTGTCCCTACATCTGCCAGCTGTGCAACGCGAGATACAGGGGTTCGAGTAACCTTAGCCAGCACATGAAGATCCACACAGGTCACAAGCCGCACAAATGTAATTATTGTAACAAAGGATTCATACGCAAAAATGCGTTAACCGTGCACGAGAGGATTCACACAGGCGTCAAACCGTATCCTTGCGAAATTTGTGGTAGATGCTTCTCGCAGAAGAACGATATGTTGAAACACATCAAGACACACAACAGCAAATTGTTGCAATGCGACCAATGCAACGAGATTTTCAATCGGAAGAAAGATCTGTTGAAGCATACTGCGGTGCACGAGCAAGACACTTCGGCGGTTCCAAGCCATGTTGACACGCCGCCACATATCCTTCAACTTTACGCCAGCACGACTCCTCTCTGAAATCGAGTATGCAATACTATGTATTGGTAGCACATGGTTAGTGTTTTTTCGCAATTTGTCGATATGTACACTGAGTTATTCCTGTTCTAATGATTCTTTTATCTCGTATGTAGATTCCTGACCAATATAAACCTTTCAATTTAAAATACCAGGTGGTCGAACATTTATCAAGGATGGATCTAAATTACGAGTCAGGCAAGGAATGGCAACAGAGTTGTCTGCTTGTTTGCAGTTGATGCTTTAGGTATGACGCACTCAGTCATCATTATCTCAGTCATAGATTCCATTGTGAACATAATTCCGATGGATATGGTCGCCAACTTGTGTAGAAAGATAGAATATATTATATAAATCTGTTTTGAAAGTTCATAAAAAAACTTATTTAATTATCAGGTATATCAGATGCATTCGTTCCCAAATACTCTCTTATGAAGTTGTATACTGATTCCAACACGTCTTCTTTACTATTGAAAATAGTTTGCGCGTCACTTTGTTTTTACGTTCAACATTGAATAAACTTTTCTTTCTGTACAGGGTTGCATCATTATCCTTTCAAATATGCAATATGGATGAACTGTTCTCTACTGCCGTTTACGGGAAGAGATTTATGAATAGAGATGGAAGTTCATGTTGGAAGTGGAACCATATAAATGTCAACAATCGTCGAGAGTTTTACAGTGGTTTACGCTCTTTAGTCTGGCAAGATCTTCATGTATCTGAACAGAATACGCGAGTTCTTAAATGCTCCTGTCGCATACGGTTGAGGTCGCCAAGGTGAAGAACAGAAAATATAAAACGTTGTGTTTGCAGCGTTTCAGAATATTCGTGCGCAAAAATTACTTTTATATACGATATATAGGATTATATGTTAATTCCTCAGCTATTTCTAAGTATTGTCAAAGTATACGATAAACAGCGCGAAAAATTTTTACTTACATGAGGAGTATTTCGTATTTTACTATAGTGTATTAGTGTAGTATATTGTACACAATTATATCAAAGTATAAAATTCTCTTGTGATATTCTTACGAAATAATAATTATCTTAGGTAAAACGTATAGCTCGGAGGAAGGGACACACGAGATCAGATGCAATAAAAGTCGTTGTTATATATAGAATAATACTCTTTATTGTTTTTGATAGTTCTTGTTTTTCATATCGTGCGCTGCAGTTTCTTTTTCATCTTTTATTATTCAATATCGATTTTTAAACGACTCTCCGTGTATGCTTTTGCTGTCAGTTCTGCTGCTGCTGCTGCCGCTGCTGCTAATATATTTTGGTAGAACAGTACGTGATACAACTTCACGATTTCCGAACAAAGAGAAACGAAAGGAAATGGCGACACGCCCGATCACTCGCGAACACACGTGTGCCGTATTATTCGTCGACCGCATATAGGACTAGAGTAATTGCGATTTCGCTCTCTCCTCTCTCGTGTATACATTCCCTCCCTTAATACACCAATTATTTTCTCAATTCCTAAATGATCGAGGAGCACACGTGCTTTTCTTTTTGTGCGCAAGTACAAACGTGGGCCCGACCGCACGCGTTTTCCGTCTCGGCCGCTCAGGACAACCGTCGCCGGGG